ATTTTGTCACAAACAATAATTTCCAAATTCAAAGAACTGTTTACAAATGTGAAATGTATACTCGGTATAGTACATCATACCTAATTAATATAATAGGACACTGTTTAAAAAAATTATATTGAACCACTTCAAAAAGTATTAATCATTGAAATAATTGAAGTATAATAAATCATAATTGTTTCAAAATGTAAGTGGAATAATAATAAATTAATAATGTATAAAAATAATTCTAAAGCGTAATTCTTATAAATAATTAATTTTATAACAAATCAATATCTATGTAGAGTATTATCAATTTATCATTAACCATTATTATTTACTATGCCTATTATAGGTATTCAATTTTGTAAAACTATGTTTATCGTATAGGTACATAGTTATAGATTTTATGGTAAACGTATACGCTACTTATAAAGTTATATAATATGTACAATAGTCAATTTGCATGTCTTAGTATTAATTAATTAATAATTGACTGTTAAGAGGACGCCATACTCGTATGTATTGTCTCCGTCTTACAAGTGCGTAACATGGTAAATTTACGCACAGCAGATCGCGTATATCTCCATTAGTTTAAAATTTAAAGTGATTGAGCTCTTATAAAATATAAATTTGAGAACATTATCTTCGTGTTCGTTTGATGGATTTTTACGATAGTTCAATTTTTTATCGAGTTTTGGGTATATAATAAAACGTAAATTCAAAATGCTCATAACACACTTAAAACTGAATTTATAATGTTCTTACCATTAATTTTTATGAGAGGGCAATTCASTTCAATTTTTAAACTAACGTAACTAACAATATCTGCTGAGCGTACATTTTTTATGTTACGCAAACGTAAGACGGAGACAACATGTGAGGGTATGGCGTCCTCTTAAATAACAAAATTGTATATTTCGCTATATTCCCGGATGTGTTGTTTCTATCTTATACACGCCTAACATAGAAAATCTATGTATAGGATTCTTATTACAGTTTATTAATTGTTAATACTTATTAGAGTTAGAGCCAATTCACATATWATTGAATTTGCAGAGGATAATATAAGCTTAGTCCAAGTGCAGCATTTTTTTCATATTTTCATTTTAAATTGAGTTATTAATACTTAAATAATTCATTTTTAAAATTCATATGACTTGTTTTTAAATAAAAATACAAAAAAAAACTACGCTTAGGRTTAATTGAAATTTTCAAATACAAATTCAATTATATCTATATAAAATATGTTCACTAATATTTACTATAAAATATAGTAACTATTGTAGACTGTATAGTAACAATCCGGTATGTAAATTAGGCAAGTAACTCTGTATCTCTCTAACAAGAAATGCCTATAGCTTTTCGCTTTTTCGCCGGTTATTGTCGTTTGCACATCACCTTATACCTTAGTTAATTTTGACCTTTTTGTAAGATAGTTGCGCGTCATCATTCGACTTTTGGGATAAGCATAGTTTGCGTATTGACCGTTTACCTTACATCAAAAGCTCAAACATCATTTGCGTATCAATATTATTTAACAATAGATGTTCAGACCACGGCTTAGTACTAGTTACTAGAGTATGCTGCATACAAGTCGGTTGCGATAAAAGAGCTGGTTCATGTTACGCATGCTCTCGTGAATTTTTATTTAGCAACACGAGTCTCGTGGTTATGACCGTCACCGTGGCCGACCCATATTAGCACCATAGTAATATAATATAGTGCCTTTATTAACCGTGTACGTTTTTACATTCTTTGTTCGTCACGTGTGTGGTTTGGTGCGTAGCCGTTTKATCTGATCTGGTCGATTTTTTTTAACGCGCGATATTATGAGCCTTTCGTTATCTTCGTTTTTTCTCTAATATTGTCGCTGTCGTAAAATTACGGACCTACGAGACCGTATTGTCTTGATGTACACGTGGTTGTCATCGTCGGGTTTTGTGTCGTCGCCATTTTGCGTTTGTCTTTACACACGTATCCATCCTCTCTCCCATCACGTTATATCCTTACTACGTAAAGGAGGTTTCAATTTAAAGAAATGGGCCAACAATTGTGAAGCATTAACAAATGATATATCTACTGAAGATTGCGCAATGGATGCACCCTTTAAACTCAAAGACGACCAGTCAGTGAAAGTATTAGGTATGCATTAGGGTACTACATCAGATGTCTTAGGTTATCACATTAACATCAACAAGGTCGATCCAACTAAGCGTTCCATTCTTTCAACAATTACTCGACTATATGATCCTTGGCGCATTGGGCCCTGAAATTTTTTGGGCTAAGTGTATCATGCAAGAATTATGGATGCAAAAATTGGACTGGGATGCTTCGCCACCGACACAATTAGCTGACAAGTGGAACACATTTATCTCCGAATTTTACTCAGCATATTGATATTYGATTTTCGAAAAAGATGGAGCTTATAGGCTTTGCCGACGCCTCTCAGAAGAGATGCGCGGCAAATGTTTATTTATACGAGTGGTTGACCAGAATAATATTGTCAAGGTCCATTTTATCGCATGTAAGACTAAGGTTGCCCCATTAAAATGCTCCGATGCTGACCCTTCGCTAACAATTCCACGTTTGGAGTTGTGCGTCGCCTTACTGCTGGCATGCGTTATACCCCACCAGTCTACGGTTATACAGAGTTTTGTCCACAATGATCGCGTCTGTGCATGGACTGACTCCACGATAGTTTTGAGTTGGATTCACACTGACCAAACACAGTTCAAGATATTCGTCACTAATAGAGTAGCATAAATCCTGGTTGTGAATGGGCCCACATCAGTTCTATGAACAATCCAGCTGACCCCGCATCGAGAGGATTACTTCCCTCCGAATTGATTTCGAACTCAYTACATTTCCGAGGCCCAGAATTTTTATTAGAATCTGACAGTCTATGGCCCATGTCTACCATGTTTAAGTTAACGTTACCACCAATTGATCAACTACCTGTGAAGAAGTTTACAGAAAATGTTTTACATATACATGAAGAAAAGAACTGCGAGTCAATTATTCAAGAATTTTCATCATTAACAAAAATGCAACGTGTGTTGGCGTACTGTTTTCGTCTCACCCGTCGTCGAAATAGTCCTAAGAGCATCGGATCAATCACTAGGATGAAATATGACCGTGCACTGAACGCGGCTATCCTCTGTACGCAAATGACATATCTGTCAGATCTACATAAACAGATTAGAAATCAAGGTTCCATAACTCCGACAACGACTGCCCAGCTAGCTCYTTYCATCGACGTAATTGGGATCATTCGAGTTGGCGGAAGATTAAAACATGCAAGCCGCAAGGTTAGATGAAGATGCGAAATATCAAATCTCTTACCTCAAAAGACAAATCTTACAGAGCTAATCATTCGATACTTTCATCATATCTTGTTACACGGTGGATCACGATAAAAAATTTTGAATTATTTCTGGCCGAGTAGGTGTCCAAAATTTTACCTATACTTGTGTTCCTTGCACCAAGTTCGGAAGTATGAACCCACGACCTTTTACGGGGGATCTGCCAGCTGCTAGACTTTAACGTCGAAATGGATTATGATGGACCTTTCATGGTTAGTGAAATTCGTTGACGCGGCGCGCGTACTAATAAAATATTATATTTAGCTGTTTTTGTATGCATGTCGGTGAAGACAGTGCACCTGAAACCGTATCAGACATATCCATAAACGCATTCCTTGCTGCTTTAGACAGGTTTGTCATCCGGTGTGGTATTTTAAATAGAATATCTCAAGATTGTGGTATAAATTACGTAGGAGCTGCAAAACAACCGAAGAAATTGTTTGATGAAGCATCCAATCAGCATATCTTATGTGATCGTATACCTTACAAGTGGCATTTTAACCTACCGGGAGCCCCTGACTTTGGTGACTTTGGGATATGGGAGGCTGCTGTCAAAAACGCAAAAATCCATTTGAAGAAAGTGATCGGTGCTCAAGTATACATCACTGAGGAATTCACAACGCTCATAACGTGGGTCGAAGGCGTCTTGAATTCTCGACCGATGCTACCGCTTTCCAGTGATCCAAACGACTTAAGCGTGTTGACCACAGGTCACTTTCTAATTGGGCAACTGTTGTTAATAATTCCAGAAGAGGATTTAGTTGATACTCAAACTAACCGTTTAAGTCGGTGGCAATTACTTCGCCAAACTCAACAGTCATTTTGGCGTCGATGGAGCAATGAATATCTGCACACACCCTACAAGGAAGGCAAAAGTGGTTTAAGCAGATACCAAATCTATCCGTTGGCGATTTAGTAATTATCAACACACCGCACTACTGCCCACAGCGTGGCAGACCAGTCGAATCATTCCGGTTCATCCAGGATTGGATAACATTGTGCGTGTAGCAACAGTCAAAACGCAAGAATGTATCTTCAAACGTCCTGTTGTCAAGCTGGTAAAACTTCCAGTGGATCCAAGACCTTAAGAAAGGCTCCCATATTACCGATATCTTCACATTTGTTGTTGTTATTTTCCTTTCCTTATGCATTGTAATTATTATTATTAAAAAAAAAAAAAATGAATTGTATTATATATTTTATGATTGTACATGATCCGCTCTGACCGAGAATTTCATTCCTTTGAAAGCACCCTTTCAAAGCGGGGGAGGATGTTCAGACCACGGCTTACTAGAGCGCGCCATACAAAACATGATCGTTTTTTTCTTAACGCGTGATATTATGAGCTGTTCGTTATCTCCGTTTTTTCTCTAATATTGTCGGTGTCGTAAAATTGCGGACCTACGAGACCGTATTTGTCTTGATATACATGTGGCTGTCATCGTCGGGTTTTGTGTCGTCGCCATTTTGCGTTTGTCTTTGCGCACGTATCCATCCTCTCTCGTTATTTGTATAGTTTTACCTTTTTCGCTGGATAGTTGTTTTGTTACGTGCGTGGATTAAAGGATCGTACACTGGGATATTTTGTATAAATTTCGAAAACCCACTATGTAAGCTGTAGGTATGATTGTGGATATTAGTCAGCTGCGAGTTTATGTCGTATTAAGGTTGACGGTATTAAAAATAACTTTCGGTATTACGGTATTGATTTCAATACCGGTATTTACGATATACCGAAAATACCGCCAGCCCTATAGTATATGTCGTATGGTGCAAAAGTCCAGTCAGCTGCCAGGTCAGACGTATCATAACCGTATTATTATTATTATTATTACTTTTTTGTTAATACGATGATTTTTTATTGTATTATCAAATATCAATAGTCTGCTTGATCTTCATTATTATTATACTTATTTTGTATTGTGTTACTAACATAACATTAAGCTGCGCTCATGTATATAATATATTAATTATAAAGTACTATAAAAAATATAATTTATACCTTTGTACAGTCCACTATATACTCCGCGCCACGAGAGAACGCATAATGGCGTCCGACCAAAACACGTATTTTTTCGCACATCCCCACCACTTTACCAGGACGATTGCCACACATCGGAGCGTTTCGTAATAGCGCTCTCATTGAAAGAATTGATATTGTTTGTTGGCGTCGAAGGTACTTGGAGTCTATTAAAGAATACCGTCAGTTAGTTATACCTATCTATAATCTGGACGAGACATGGGTGAATGCTGGTGAAACCACTTCGAAAACACGAGTCGATAAAACTGTAAATTCACCACGGGACGCATTTCTAAGAGGATTAACGAATAGACAAAAGGAACCGTCCGGTAAAGGAAAACGTGACCATCGTATAAACATAGGTTCATCTGAAGGCTTTGTTTTTGATAGCCTTTTATGTTTTGAATAAAAAAAAAAAATATATATATAGAGAAGATTACCACGATGAGATGAACGGCGATACATTTTATGACTGGTTCACTAATATTTTACCATTACTTCCTAACCTAAATGGATTCTAGATTTCCCAATAAATCAACAGCATCTAAACTAGATGAAACAGCATTAGCTATTACCAAATTTAATTGATGATGATGACACCACAAAAAGATAGCTGAATTATTTTTTGCATTAATTCTCGCTTGTAAGCCCTTGTATTCCCCACTTATACTGCTAGCACCGTCGTATGACGGATCAACAAGTTCGTTTTTCCAATCAAGGCCTTCACGATCCATGACTAATTCAAAAAAATCAAATAACAATTCTAATTGTAACAGGAGATTCTTTAAGAGCCAATAAACGTTCAAAAATGTTCCCAGATGAATGACTAACATATCTTATTATAAATGATACCTGCTCTTTTCTAGCAGCATCAAAGGTAGAATCTATTGAAATACTGAACATTCGCGATCTCTTTATATCTGGTTCTAAGGTTGATCTGATAAATTCTGATTTAAAATTGATAAGTTGATTTTGTCTTTCCCAACTTATAAACGAGCACATAATATATTCACCCTGGGATTTAATAGAATTTACATGGGATGGTAATGCATATAAATATGGAGCTATCAACAATAAAATATCCTTAAAATTTCCTTCATTTTTTTCTTCCCAACATTCTCTGTGCCCATGAAAAGATAAATTATGTCGAGCTAAATATAAAGTAATGTCTATTAACTCAAAAACAATTTGTCTGTTTAAAGCAACATTGGTTTTTCGACTACTTTCTAGTGCTGGAATGATTGGCATAGAATTTTTCTTTGTTCATAGTGTTATTGAAACATTGACATGTATATTACTTATTTCATGTAGCATAATATTTTGACGACTATTTTGCCATGTAGAATATCCAACTTCTGTCTATRTATATGTTGTAACAGTTTTATGCTTATTGTGGCCAGTAAAGAGCATACACGACAAACAAAAAACTGTGTCTAGTGTTGGTGAGTATGATAACATTGATAACCAATCCCTAATAAATGTAGGTAGAACCATTGGGAATTAATCGAGAGTATCACTGTTCATTAAAATGGCCATGTCTTGAAGTTATATCAAATGGAAAATGCTTTTGAGGAAGGTAATTTGAGCATGGTTGACAAAGGCCTAATTGAATGATCAAATTAATTTCTTCAGGACTTAACTTTCTATTAATGAAATGCACTGGATCATTTTTAAACAAATTACCTATGGATATCAAAAAATTCAATTATCAATAATTGAAAATATATACCCTTTTACACTATCTTATAAAATTATTATAACCCTAAGTGTGTTATTGGTAATAATACCTGGTGACTGGTTTTCTGCAGAAACTGAACTAGATAAATCATTGTCAAATGAATTATCAACATAAACTTGGTCTACTTCATTAATACCTATAATAATTTTAATTAAATTAATATATTTTGATTTGATTTGTTATTATTTGACATTTGTAATAGACAATACTGTTGTAATAGTGTTWTAACTTATGCTCGATTGCTCTTATATAATTTGCATTTAACATACCTGAAAATAATGATTTCTTTACATAGTCTTCAATTCCATTTTCGTAATTTATGTAGGTAGTAGGTAGGTACTTAAGACCTTTTACCCGTACATCACAGAATTATTTAAACAAATTTGTTATTACTTACCGTTAGTATTATTATCACTACTATAATATTTTGTTGCCTCGGCCAAAACTATTGGTTTGATAAATCGATTTAATAATCCAAACATTTTTTTAGTTGCATCTTCTTTTTGCCCTCTTAATTTTCTCTTGGCGCTTTCACTCAAGTGTTGAGAACGAGAAGCCATTAATTACAATYAATTAATAACATTAAAACATTAAAGTAAACAATTAAAATTTAAATGACAGTTGCCAGTTGTCAATTAAAATAAAACAATACCACAGAATACACTGTCACTGTGCAGTTAATATTTAATACTTAAAATTTTAATAAAGTTAAGACAAATGACGATTGATGAGTGATGATTATGTGAATAAATGTCTGTCTATGTGACTATGTATACGGTACACAATATAACATTAACATAATATAAGTTTTGAAAATTTAACGTAACCAATAATTTAATAATAATTAATAAGCCGTTTCCGGCAGATAAGGAGAATTCGGTATGGTCGCAGACTGGGTTTCCCAACTTATAACTTGCGACTAATCGGGAAAAATTATGTTCGAATTTATAAACTATAATATGCATTAAGTACTTACTATTATTTGAATTAATTAAATTAATTTTTTATTTTCAGTTAAAAATATTTAAAAATAATGTAGGTAACAAATTTGGAATTTACCTACAGACTACACTACTACAGAGTAATGTACTAGTGTACCTAGTATACCTATACAGCTAGTTGTCAAATACGTATTATTCACCCAATTACTTCATAAAAAGTAAAAACACAAAACCAATAATACCTAATTAATTAAATAAATGATAATATAACGATTGTTTATCATTATCTTTTTTCTTGAAATCTTAAATACGTTAAATTAATAAATCAATGACAAAATAAACTATTCTAGTTTATTTTGTCATACTTTCATGATCATGTTCGTCAACTCAGCTGACAGCTGTTAGTCGTTAGACGTTAGTATATAATAATTATTTTAATACACTGTTTAGTATTAGAGTCTAGAATCATAATCCACCAACTACATATCTATAGGCTATAGTGTTTACAGTTGCAATTCAGTATTCACTAGTCGTACGTATATCAAGTTTATTTATCTTTATGATTTAAAATTCTTTAAAAGTTATATTCTGGGCCAGGGCCACAACCGGGCCCCAGTAACTCTTAGTGGGCCACTCCCAGCTATAAAATCAACTATGACATATGTCATAGATAAATTAGGTGACCGGCGCCACTGACTATAAAAATAGTCTTATTCTTCTTTTATATTATAAAAGGGAAGTATGATTTTTGTTTTTGCAAAATTAGTTGAGCGTTTGTACCGTGTTTAGTTGAACCAGCTATCACGACTAAGCAATAAAACTTAAAAAAGGTTTATTAATGTATTTTAATTTATTTTTACTCAAACTATGTGTATATTATTTGTTTTTGTTTTTTATTATCACCATCACTACTRTACTGTTATCATGTTAAAATGAATATTACTTATTATCCATAGATGTAGATAGCCTATCGGCTAGGAATGTYTTATTGTAAAATTGATAATAAAAAAAAAATTACTTGTTTTTGCAAGAATAAAAATTTGATTTGTAGTTAAAACAATTACAAAATACTGAAATTATTTTCAAATTTTTGATATTTTGAAGAATTTCGTAAAAATTGTACTTATGTAACTTTATTAATTTTTAACTAAAAAATCTTTAATTATTCATTATATTTATGTGTGCGTGTATATTATATATAACTATATAATATATGT